TAGCCTGTCCGAACACCCGAAAAGTTGATACTAGTTACTATAGGCAAATGCTTAAAATTTTTACTAGAAAATGTACTGCTTTATACGGAGATGTGCATGCATTTTACAATGTGCTTTCGAAAAAACTACTTACAAAGTGCCTTTGCGTTAACGCAAAGGACACGCAAGTCGGCCGACTCCGATGTGGATAATACAAAAGATACTGCACTTTCTAACAATGGGATACACTGCAAATGCAAATGTCAAACTAAAAAATCATAAAATCCCCTATACAAAGACAAGTGCTCTTACAAAAAAGTTTCTCAACACTAGCTGAAAAGTGACAGGCCATTTTACGTGCGAAAGGCGCAGAAAATGCATACATTGTTCAATCGAATAACCTCTAGGAGCGTGGGAACGATGCAGACTGAGTCGAGACTTCTTTGTAGAAAAAATCAGCCGATATTGGCGAGTAATCAATACTATGAGTCTCGGCTATGAATGATAGCCGCGGTACCGCAACCCAACCAGATGCAACTCAAACACCAACAACATGTGCACTTCAGTCGAGTAAAACAAAAGCAAAAATAAAACAGTAGCAGAGGACAAATAATGTGGTAAATTTGAAATCTAGGGAATCAGAGAAAGAGAAAATGCAAACAAATAGAATGTAGTAGCATCCGCAATAGCGGTTGCAGCACGTGGTCAACATCGCAACATGTGGCACTACTGACTTCCGCGACTTAGTAGTCTGCATAACAGGCTTTCTATGTTCTGGAGCGTCTTAGCGCATTGCATGGATGGTGGCTCCCCTATTTCAGGGCAATGCATTGCTTTGCTATGCGGTTTTGAAAGGGTGTGACGGGGTCGTTCGACGATACCTTACACACGGGTTACACAAAAGTTAAAAAGCTAAATGAAGTCATCAAAACTAAAATACTATCACAGTCGCGCCAGAAGTCACAGCCGTTTTGAGTTAGCACTGAACGCTTTTATTACAGTCACATCTCTGAGGAACGGTGAAATGAGACCACAGCCATTTGTTGCATCATTGCCCCGCCCAAACCAAACGGTCAGGCCGATGCAAAATTTGCACAGCCTATTAATCAGGGGGTTTGCAATAAAAAGCTCATGGAACTTGCGTGGGTATGAAACCCGTTTATATAAATGAATTATCTACTTACGTTGGCATTTCCGCCGCAGGCACCACACGTATCCACAAACGCAATTTCGTTCATTCCACAGCCCTATCCGCCAAATCCCAACTGGGTATCCCAGAGTTCATGCGCGTACCACTCATGCTTGCACTATTCATGGAGACAGTTGTGTTCGCCGAACGACTTCTCAGAAGCTTGCGAGTCGACCAGGGGCGTCATGCGCGTGGCCGGCCTCCAATGCGGAAATTAGGGAGCAACGCGTCATTGCGTAGAATACGAGCGAATGGGTCTTCGTTAGAACCCAACTGTGCGACATGCACATTTCAGTTTATTTGAGTTTATTTGGTAAGGATAATAGGCAAAGCCTTTGAAAACCCTATTGATTACATGTCAGCTCGTTAGAATAACTGTGCACGAACAAAAAATGTTCACTATTAAAACAGTACTTGGTTCATTTGAGTAGCATTGTCTCAGAGAAAATATTTGTCTAGACCAGGGTTATTAATTCAGATTCAGACTGTCGAGGGAAAACAGGGGACACAAATAATCATCCAAGCGTTTCTTGAACAGTTGCAGGGATGTAGCCTCCACGACTGACTGAGGGAGATCGTTCCATTTCTCCACTACCCTCTACGTGAAAAATTCAGAACGGAGATTCAGCCTGGACATTGTTGTCCGTAACTTCATCGAGTGACCACGAAGATTGGGTGAAAGGTGCCACTGAAACATGTCCTCAAATTTAAGTCCATACTCAAGGCCATGTATTATCTTGTAGACGAGGATAAGATCACCTCTTTGCTGCCTGTAACACAGAGGGAATAAATTAAGGCAATTCAGTCTGTCTGTCTAGGAATGGCTTTTTAGACCGTTTACCAGCTTTGTTGCACGCCGTTGTACCCATTCGAGGCATTCTTGGTCCTTTACCAGCCATGGCCGCCATGCTTGTATGCCATATCCTAAGTGGGCCGAACAAATGTGCCGTAAACTCTCCCAAAAAGGTCTTGGTCAAAATTTACGAAAGCCCTTTTTATTGCATGCAGCACTCCCATGGCGTTTTTTGCAGCCTTGTCGCACTGCAGTGTTGGTTTCAGGTTGTTCTGTATCCAAACCCCGAGATCCTACTGTGAAGATTCTGCGGGGAGCCTTATATCTTTCAGGTGATAAGTCCTCAGACTCTCATTTGAATGAGAGTTGGTTGGACGCAGATGAAGGACGGCACACTTCTCCACATTGAAATCTAGAAGCCATTTCTTCGACCACGCTTGCAGTCGGTGCAGATTATCTTGAAGGGATCTCTGATCATTCGGACCCTTAATGACTTCCCAGAGCTTAACGTCGTCTGCAAACATTATTTTGCCGCAGTCGAGTTCCTGAAGGCTGTCGTTAACGTAAAGGATGAAGAGCAATGGTCCCAGAACTGAGCCTTGCGGCACACCACTGGTCACATTCACCCATTCTGACATATCATCCCCGATACAGACACGTTGTTTCCGACCAACCAGAAACGCCCTAATCCAGTTCAGAAGATCTCCCCGGATGCCGATGTCGCTCAATTTGTGAAGAAGACGTTGGTGTGGGACAGTGTCAAAAGCTTTGCGGAAATCGATGTACACGACATCGACCTCAAAACCCTCTTCTAGGGCCCTGGTCCAGATTTCCAGACAAGCTAGCAGATTTGAGAGGCAGGAACGTCCTCTCCTGAAGCCATGTTGAAAATCCTGCAAGATGTTATTTTCTTCACAAAATTGCTGTATAGCGTTCTTTACTATAGCTTCCATCGTTTTGCAAGGGAGGCAAGTTAAGCTAATAGGTCGAAAGCTGCTTGCTGTCATCTTGCTACCTCTCTTATGCAATGGAACGAGGTTAGCTGTCTTCCACTGGGAGGGTAGCCTTCCTGTTCTCATTGACAGCTCAAAGAGAGTCGAAAGAGGCTTTGACAGCTCCCTTGATAGCTCCTTAAGTATCAGCCCGGGAATTCCGTCGGGTCCAGGAGACTTATCAGGTTTTATTTGACTGAGGACTCGTCTGACTTCTTCCACGGAAAAGGCGACGGTTTTAATGACGGAAATATCTTGGCGCATTTGAAGCTTCCGGCTGTGTCGGTCCATTTCAAACTGCCGATTGTCTTCTAGGGACTCTTCCGTAAAAACCGATTGAAAAAACTGAGACAGTAATCGCACTTTCTGTGACCCTTCAATTAATAAGTTTCCGAGGCTATCCTTTAGACACGCAATTTTGTCCCTATGTTTCCTCCTACTGCGGATGTACCCGTAAAACTTCTTGGGACATGTGATGGATTTTGCTATCAGTCGACGCTCGAAAGAACTTCTAGCAACCCGTATTTCTTTGCGGCATTTATTGCGCTGATCCTTATATTCGGCGAGTGACCTTGGATCTCGAAGTTGCAAATACTTTTTCCAGAGTCTCTGTTTCTTCTTCATGGTCTTTTTTGTCGTCGGATTTACCCACGGCGGTCGCATACATGGTCTTGTCATTTTTATAGGACAATGGGAATCAATCAGACGCTTATCCATTTAACGGGTATGATCCAATAAACCATAGCTGATTTAATGAGCCATTCGCGGTTTCACCGTATGAAGGCGTGCACTTAGACATGCATGGCTTAATCTTTGAGACAAGCATATGACTACTGGCAGGATCAACCAGGTAGTTCACACACACAGTAGTACACGCATAGGCGCTAATACTAGCGCGAACACGCATACACTGCGACTGGCAACAGCAGCAGCCCAACGCACACACACACACACACACACACACACACACGACAGTTCGTCCGTCGATTTCGACGATGACCACCGTGTGCCCCACAGACTGCATTGTGGGAGCAGGGACGGTGACTTACGCAGGGGTTTATAGTGCCAGTAGACTTGCGTAGCATCTACCTACACTCTCTCCTCCTCCCCCGCCTGGGCCCGGTGTCAAGACAGAGTCAAGAAGACCGGAGACGAGGGAGGCCGCAGGTGGGTGGTTCGGACGGATCCTCACCTTGGCGTTCCACCACACCCCCTGGTCCACACAACAATAACCAGGATTTCAACCAACACAACAGAGATTTGGAGGCTGGCACGACCGAAGCCGCACCTGGGCGTGCCGCCAACGCCTGGCTCAGATCCCACACTGTGGTGGGAATGCCATAAAGGCCACATTAAAAAGGAGCCATTGCAGCCTGACTCTCAGACCGCCTCCCGTGAAGGAGGAGGTCCAAGGTACCCCGTCAGTTGGCAACCTTCCAAGCCACGGCTTTTAGCGCACCGTGATAGCTTCAAGCGCGTCAGATTGATTATAGTGAGGAAAATGCGCTGAGTCGTCGACCTCACTCTCCCTTCCCATTCCCACACCCCAGCCACTGTCCGAGCCGGTCAGTAGACTGGAGTGGGGAATGGGCGCGGTGGCTGACTTGGTCGACTGACCATGCCTGCGCGCGCCACAGCACGACCTGGCCCCCCATACACACAAACACCAGGATTTCACACAACGGGGGTAGAACGGCGTGTCTACCACTTGCGTGAGAGGGCCGTGGAAGGTGCTGTCTCAGCCCGTCCCCAGCCCACCAGTCCGCCACTCCACGCAACACACACACACAACGCGACGAACTGCGTGAAGCGAGAGAGGGCGTCAATCAGTAACTTTCCTATCCACGGCGCTTGACGTGTCGGGATAGTCCCGGACTCAAGTCACCCGTGCAACCGAAGCCGCATGGGGACCGAGTCGATATGCGATCTTCCCACTTGCGTGGGAGGTGGCAGTTGGGTGCATGAGGTGTGGGAGAGTTGATTTCTGGTGGGGTGATGGTGTTAGGAGGTAGGGAGTGAGGGAATGTGTGGTGTGACCGGCGGTTGTCTACCGCAGGTCGTCGTGGATGCGCATGTGGCCGAATAGACCCATGCGATGCCTGAAGGTGCGAGGGCAGTGTGGGCAGTGGAGGCGAGTGCGGTGAGTGTAGGTTGGTGTTCCAGGCACTGGTTCGCCAGTCTCTGTGCGATGGATTCGCAAGTGACCGACCAGGCCGATGCGTGAAGTGAAGGTGCGATCGCAGTGAGGGCAGATGTAGTCCTGGCCCTCACGTCTGATGATGGAGGTTGCAGGGATTGTGCCTGTTGTTGTGTCAGGTTCTGCTGTGGTGAGGTCGTGGGCGACAGACGCCGAAGCGGCCGTCGTTGTGGCAGTGATGGAGGAAGAGGAGGAGGAAGGAGAGGAGTGAGGGGTGGTAAGGTCGGTGGCGTCGATGTCGGCTGTGGAGTGGTTAGTGGGTGCGCAAGGTGATTGATTGGGAGTGGGGCTCGGCGGGGTGGGTGTGTCAAGGCTGCGGTCAATTCCGCTCTCGTGGATGCGCATGTGGCCGAATAGACCCATGCGATGAGTGAAGGTGCGAGGGCAGTGTGAGCAGTGGAGGCGAGTGCGGTGGGTGTAGGTTGGTGCTCCAGGCACTGGTTCACCAGCCTCTGTGCGATGGATTCGCAAGTGACCGACCAGGCCGATGCGAGAGGTGAAGGTGCGGTCGCAGTGAGGGCAAGTGTAATCCTGATCCTCATCACTGGAATCTGGAGGGGTGGGGGTGGTTGTGGTTGTTGTGTCGTGGTTGGCGATGTGTGAGACGGCAGCCTGAACGGCCTCCGCTGGGGCAGAGGAGGAGAAGGAGGAGGATGGAAGTGGTGGTGCAGAAGGAGTGTCAGAGTTAGTTGGCGGAACAGAGGAGGAAGAGGCGGGCGGGGGGACGATGGCTGGAGCAGTTCGAGAGAGGTGCAGTTGGTTCGGAGATGTCCAACAAGTCCGATTCGTGCCCGGAATGTCCGTTGACATCGAGGACACGTTGGGAGAGGTTGTGCGGCGGCGTTGCGGACTGGGCGAAGTTGTGATTTGCGGGCTTCGCGTTTCGC